TGAAGTTAGTACACCATGAAGGCCTACTGAGTACTGGAGAGACCCAACAAGCCTCTAAGAAAGACAAAACGAGACTTGGTAAAGCAAAAGATAACATGGCCAGTACATTTAAAAAAAAGCAGGCCAAGCAGATAACAGCTAAGAACAGGAAAGTTGAAGAAAGAAACAGAGGGGCAAATTCTGACTGCACAAGACCACATCTTAAGAAAAATGCATACAAAGCCAGAGTTGAGAATAACACAAGCGTCTGCCACACAACAGATGAGATCAACAATTAATAATTACTATCCAATTGTTAATTGGACAGTAAACATTGCAATATCTAGAGACAACAAAATAGAAGAGAAAGAATAGGAGAAAAGAACAAAATATAAAGATCTGCAAATAGAAATAGACTAACTATGGCAAAACGAAGCAAAAATAATATCAATTATAATAGTCATCTTGAGTACAATTCCAAAACTTTGGAACACTATTTGAACATCATTGGCATGGACATCATCATCGTCAGTCAATTGCAAAAGGCAGCTTTACTTGGAACATTTCATATCCTGCAACAATAACCTAAATATTATTAAACAAAACCTTCAAACAATCCCAGATCTTTAGGCAAGATTTGGTATGAGAACAAAAATGCTAGATCCAATCTAGCTGTGTGTGACCAACTGTAATTGAATGACTGTGGATGACTCACAACAAAAAGATTACACTAAAATCAATAAAACATATCGTACATCATAACATAATATCCTTTTTCTGTTCAGGAACTCAAGCCATGTGATCCTGTCCGCCATTAAAACCATCTCCCCCCCCCAAAAAAAACCACATACCGTACAAATATAAAGATAAAAGATGGCAAATATGATGAACCAGTAACCAGTACAGCTCTTGGAACAGAAGTGTCATATGGACATAGCAAGTCATGTCCACTGCTGTTCACATTGCTGCATTCAGGACCACATGAAGCTTCCAGGAGATCTTCAACTGTACACCCATATAAACTGTGTACAGTAATGAAGCCACAAGACAATAAGACATGATGACTGTCTGAAGCATCCCCTGAACTGGAAAAGAGTGCAATTGGTGCATCAGATGGAGTTATGCAAAGGTCTTCATGGCCACACCCGACAACTGCTCTTTTAGCAGGAATTGTAAGTCCAGGAAGACTTGAAGACTGTCTACCTACCTTGAAGAGTATAAAGCTACCCTATCCAAGGTCAAAGATGGAATATCCTCAGATCTGACTGGCCCAATCACCACAGCCATTCAATCTTGGTAGGATTGAGTGGGAGGTGGTTCCTCCATATCCAAGATTTAAAGATTTGGTCACAGAGATTACTGTGTAATTAAGAAAATAAAAGATGAGGACTTAACAAATGGATTTAAAGTTAGATCTTGCAAGAAACAAAGAAAATTAAAATATGATGTTATTTAAAAGCAAAAAACTAAAAAAATGTTTCTGTGCTAGAATTCAAAGAAGCCAGGCATTTGAACTGGTGTTTTCATATTTGTGGTGAAGATATTTATGATTCCTTGACACAAAAAACAAAGGACAGGAAAAACTACTTTATAATCTTCATAGACTGTCATTCAAAGTATATTTGCACTTATCTTTTAATCAGTAAGAGTGAAGTATTTGAGAAATTCAAATTATTCTGTGATGGATTCAGAAAGCCGATATCACAGGGTTCATTCCAAAATGCTTCCCCCTCTTCGGAGGGTTTATTCTTTTTATACAGTTTTTACGAGCAAAGCAATGAGCATATAGCAACAGGATTGTAATTGGCTTATTCTCCTTGTCAATCTCTAAGAACATCCCACCCAGGGCAGAATCTCACATAACTCAATAGTTCCTGGTAGTGCCTGGTTCTGCTAATTAGGTGAGCTCATAGGTTAAGAGGTAACCAGCCACTGAGATCATGGCAGTGTACTGCGGATGTCTTTACGTAACCTTTCCTTTATCCCTACAATTCTGTGTCATATAAAAAATAAGTTGAACAAAAATATAATTATTATAGTCTGATAACAGGGAAGAATAGTGCAACCAGGAATTTGAAAACTCCCTCGAACAATAAAGACATAAAATTCAAAAAAATAAGTTTCAGTCCTAAGCAAAATGGGGTTGAAAAAAATAAATAAATCAAAGCTTGCTAATTATGATGAGATGCCTCTTGCTTGATGGAAGACTGCCAGACAATCTTTGAGGAGAAGCAACACAGCTACTTACAGTAGAACCTCTGGTCACGAATGCTTCTGACCATGACCAAATCGGGTTTTGACCAAAAAATTCACATTCCCCGCCCCCCCTCCCCCCCGGCAGCCAATTTCCCCTTCCATGCCATTTTTTTGTAAGTGCCAAATTTCCAAAATTAGGTTCGGGTCACGATCAAATCAATTTGCGACCAAAGTTATGGAATGAATTATGGTCGTGACCAGAGGTTCTACTGTATTTGCAAGATTGTTTTTAAACAAAAAGGTACAGATAAAACCCTATCTAAGTTATGAAATGGGAGAAAATTGAACAGTGATTTGGATGCAAAACTTATGCATATGCATATCTCAAGTAGGAATAATGCTGAGTTATTAAATAGGAACAAAAGGTTATAAGATTTTGGACTTAAACACTGGAAAAGTAAACATATGCAGTCCTGCTCATTTTTATGAGAAGAACAGATAAGACAAAATAAGCTGCAATATTTATATACTAGTGCAAACCGGCCTAGTTTTACAACAACAATAATGACATTGCAGATTACTGAAAATGGTTTTGAGAAATGATTAAACAACAATTTCTGACAATCCCAGATCCCTGTGAAGAGAGGAATAACATCAGATTCAGAAGTCTGCTAACATAAAGAATTAGAATTAAGAATATCTCAAAGATGTGCCTGATATATATAATAGACTGGTTTTCATTAGTATGCCTGATTCTAATTCATGGAAATAAGTACAAGGACTAGTAACAACAGAAGTGGATAGAAACTGCATAGGAAGAAATTGAATCCTTACATAAATATAAAACATGGATTCTAGTGAAATTACCAAAGGGGGAGGACATCTGGCAGTGTTTTTCAAAACAAAACACAATGTTCAAGGACACATTGTATGGGATTTCATAAAGCTAAGTTAGCAAAGGTCTGCGTTAAAAATATGGTGAGAATTACGACAAAGTGTTTGGACCATATTAAATATGCAATCATCAAGATTAAATGAAATAGGACTGCTAGCCAGAAAAGACAGACTTCACAGCAGTAAAAAGTTTACTTAAAAGCAACTATGGACTTTAATTTAAAACAACCTATAACTAATAATCAAAATATTGAATGTACAGATTCTGATTGGGCTGGAGATAAATCTGACAGGAGATCTATCATTGCATATATATTCTTTAATGGGAACATATCCTTTGCCTACTGCAACAAGAAACAAAGCACTGTAATCCTGTCATTTACAAAGGCGGAATACAGCTGATCTTTACTTACTGGCCACAACTGTGACCAGCAACTGTTGCTAAGCAACATGGTTGTTAATGTTAACATACAGTATGTAAATATGACATGATCACATTGGATTTAGGACGTTAATCCCGTTGCGCTTGCAAAGTGAATCACTGCAGGCTGCTAATTACAATAACACATGACAGCTGCCTGCCAGCTTCCCCACTGACATCTAACCACTGGTGGTGCAGTGGTTAGAATGCAGTATTGCAGAGCTAATTCTGCCCATAGTCTGGAGTTTGATCGTGATGGGCTCAAGGTTGACTCAGTCTTCCATCTTTCTGAAGCCAGTAAAAAAAGGATCCAGATTGTTGGGGGCAATATGCTGACTTTGTAAACTGTACAAAGAGGGCTGAAAAGCACTGTGGGGGGATATATAAGTCTAAGTGCTATTGCCTGTGCTTGTTGGAAGCTGTCTGTAATCGCAAATAGCTATCAGATGACCATGGGAAGTTATAACCATCATAAATGTGCCCCATTTTGAAGTGCCTAAATTGTGATCACATTACTATAGGGATGCTATGATGGCTGCAAGTTTGAGTACTGGCTATAAATCTACTACTTCAGTGCTGTTCTAACTTCAAACAGTCACTGAATGAAGCAGTCAGTACGTAAAGACTATATGTACTGTTCTGTGGAACAAGTATATATGGAACAACCAACTTAAACCACAGTAGGTGAGAATCACATCATTAGAACTGTTTAGAATTGTATTAGAATTGTAAACATGAAGCAGTGCAGACCCAATTTGAAATACACGGATATTAGCTTACACTAGAGGAGGGATGGACATGCAAGAAAATGGGAAAGCAGAAGTATTGTCTAACTCAGAGGTCCCCAACCCCCAATCCATCAACTGGTACTGGTCCAAGGCATGTCAGAAATCTGTCTGGGCAAACAAGTGAAGCCCCATCTGTGGGATGCAGGCAACACATGAAACCACGCCCCCTCTGGTCTGTGGCAAAACCTCTCTCCATGGAACCAGTCCCTGGTGCCCAAAAGACTGGGGGTTGCTGGTCTAACTGATGATACGATGGCCTATGCCTTGTCACTGCCCAGGGATTGCTTCCTCAGGTTGAAAAAAAAAAAACAGGGGCTAGGATTGTGAATAACAGTGGTATAATCCATTCTGATACGCACTTTGGGGTACTGCACTGATAAGAAGGGGAAATTGGATACTTTACCTGGATTATTTCCTTCATAAGGTAGAACAGAAGAATCACCTGGTGTCCTACTTTCTATTTTATTCTGCCTTTATGTATCTAAAAGGGGGTAACAAAACATCACTTCCTTTGGGACTGTCTGGGCCAATTACCCCCAGCAATGTTTCTAGATAACCTAGGAAGTTCTGTTCTTTGGATATATGGATGGATTTAGATAATGTAAAATCTTCTTTATGGTCCCCTCCCTTTTGATGTCGTTTTTGCAAGTTGTGTGTGTTTTTTTAAAGTAAGTTATATTTTAGCTAGTTAAACTGGAAAACTGTCCACAGTAATTTTCTAATATTCTGGGCAAGAGGAAGGGTTTTTTTCCGAGGTAGCTGCCCCAACTCACGATTCCCACCGCATGGCTCTTGTGTCTTCCATAAACCTCAACCATGTTCTTCCATAAACCTCAACCTTAATGTTCTTGGACTTCCTCAACGGATATGTTAGCCTCGAATCACCCTAACTGGCATGTCCAAGTTATCTGGGAGGGATGGGGATCGTCCTCCGACGGGGTTCTGAAGCTTCACGCTGCCCTGAGCCTCAGCGGCACCAAAGTTTGCTCAGCTTCTTACAAGTTTCTTCCTCGTTGTCAAAACTGGAGATTTCTGCGAGGAACTCCTCCAAGTGCGGGCGGACACCGGGGGAGGAGAGAAGGGGAGGAAAAGGCGGCGCGCAAGGGCCCCCTTGGCACAGTTGCCTGGCGCCTCCGTGAGGCTCGGGCCGTTCCCCCTACGACTCTTCGACTTGTCAGGCGGCGGCATTCGGCGGACTGCCCGGCGTTTCACCCGCCCTCGGCTCCCTCCCTCTCCGGTCTTTGGTGGTGGACTTAAGCGCCCATGGCAATCGCCGCCTTCAGTCACCTGCGGAACGCAGTCGGAAGGCAGCAGCTCTGGAGGCACAGCTGTCTAAGGACCCCCTGGGCACCTCTCCCTTTTGCCCGTCGTAGCAGAAGCGATCGCGGGAGCAGAGATGAACCGCGCCCTCCCTCCCTGAAGGGAAACTACTGGCAGCTGTGCGAGCGGGCAGCCCGGGAGCCCGGCCCTTTCTGGGGGTCTCTGGCACGGGAGGCGCTGCAATGGGACACCCCGCACCACACCGACTGCGAGTGGGATTTCGCTCAGGGTCGGATCCGCTGGTTCTTAGGCGGTCGGTTAAATGTGGCGGGTAAGAGGCGCCTTTCCTTGACGGGGGGGAAGGGACGGCGACGGTACCGAAACTGCCTCGAATCCCTCGGCCCTTTCCTCCTCCGGGCGGGTCGATGATGTTTTATATTTAGCCTAACAGTTTCGAAAGAGAAAGGCACGGTAGAAGCTGTGCTCTCCGGCATTTGGAAGTCACGCCCAAATTGTCTGCAGGCGAGTCACACCCGGGTTATCTGGAATCCTGCACCCTCTAAACCGGAATATTGGCGTAGCGATAATGCGGTGGAAAATGGGGGAAACGCAGTGACAGCACCGAGGTTTCATCCGACTCTCTTCCCAAAACCGGTCGGGGGTACGAACGCATTCTAAGAAGGCCTGACTCGAAGTCGCAACGTTTTGCGGCCGAGGCTGTACTTTATGTGCAATGGCTTTCACTCAAAACACCCCACCCTCGAACAGAGAGAGAGAAAGAGGAAGAATGTGCCTTGAAAAACCGATCTTGGTTACAATAGGTTGAATTAGGATAATTTAAATACTAACTTCCCATTGCTTGATGGGTGCTAGGGCCAATAGGATTCGCTGAGTGAGAGAAGATTCAAGACAAAACTTTAAAATGCTTGGGTTACTGTAAACACTGTACTTATGTTCGCAAGTACAATAGGAGAATCCTAGAGGAGGGATGGGATATAAATCAGTCGGTAAAAGGTTATGAAGTAAGTAATGCCAACATTCAAAAACCCTGTATGAAAATGAAATTCTAGCACACACAGTATTTTCTCTGTTGCTGAACATGCTCTAAGTCTAAAGAATGTGATCATCTGTTCTATAACCCATGGTTATAGAATGAATGCATAGCCTTTATTGTGTCACTTACCGGTTTAATTATATGGACTTACTTATGGGTATGCCCATACCAGGGCGTACTGCCTGCAACCTACAGTTTCAATTGCTGTCTTCTGAAACCTACTATTACAATGTAAGTATAGCAACTTTCAACGCCTCCTAGATTTTTCAAGATTTTAATTTCAGTCTCTTTTTCTGGAGAAGGCTTATGGCCCTACTTACAATAAGTATTTATTTTATTTTTATTTATTTATTAAATTTATATGCTGCCTATTTCACCGTGAAGGCGACTGTGGGTTACAAAAATTAAAAACAAAGGTACAAAATATCAACACATTAAATATTAAAATGAATGGAGATTAAATAAATAACCCAGAATACTGCTCAGGGGAGGTGGCATTTTTTTTTCTTAATCCATTAACCACCTCCAACATAGAACACCCCCATTGGGGCCCCAAGCCAATCAGTAGAGCAAAGTTTTGAGCTTTTTATGGAAGACTAAGAAGGTGGGGGGGTGATTTTCCAGAGGGTGGAAGTCACAGCAGAAAACGCCAGAATTCTTTGACCAAGGAGGACCTCAGTGTGCTCCTTCTGCTGAAATAAGTGGGAGAGCCAATCCCATTGGGGTGAGAAAATTTCTCATCCTGGACTCATGCGATAAAAGGGCTTTTCAACAACTTGAATTATAAATGGAAGCAGACTGGCAAGCAGTGTTGTTCACGCAACAGTGGTGTTACATGGGCCATCCCAACAGTGGTGTTACAGGGAGCCATTAGAACTGTCAGCATGGTGGCATTCTGCTCCAGCTGTAGTTTCCAAATACTCTTCCAAGGATAGCCTATATAGAGCGCATTCACCTGTATTTTCTTTATTTTATTCATTTACTTATCTGTTGATTTCTCTATCTGCAGAACTCAACCAAGTCACCCTGGGTTGCTTACAATTCTAAAACTATTAAACATTAAAAAAAATCTGGAAAATAAATTCAACCACAGCAAGATAATTAACCATGAAACACTATAGCCATAAAATAGGGCCCTTAACATATTCTGAGCTCCAGGCCTGGGCCACGTAGTCATGTTTTAAAGCGCTGCAAAAAGCCTACAGGGTTGGTGTCATTTTAATCTCCCAGTGGATAATATTCCACAAGGCAGGGGCTACAGCACAGAAGGCCTGTTTTGTAGTTCGCATTTGTCAACACTCTTTTGCTGACCACAGCTGCAGCATGCCCAATCAGTTGGATAGAACTGAATGAGTGTTGGAAAACAATGGTCTTCAGGTCCAAAGCCTTGTAGAACTTTAGAGTTGACAACCAATACCTTGAATTGCACTTGGAAAGAAGGAACCGGTGGAGCTCACATTATTAATAGTGGTGTTACATGTGCAGTATAGCCAGTATTATTTACTACCCATGCAGCCACATTTTGCACCAGTTGAATTTTCTGAATGCTCTTCAAGGGCAGCTCTGTGTAAAGAGTGTTGCCATAATCTAAGTTGCATGGGCATGGGTGATGATGAGCAGGGCCTCCTGGCCAGGAATGGTACAACTGGTGCACTATCCAAAGGTGTGCAAAGGGTCTCCTAACTCAGAGTTCCCCAACCTTTTCAACTTTGTGAACCGATGGAGGGGGGAGAGGGGATGGTTCTGTGCGTGTGGTGGGTAAGCATGCACGTGCAGCTCCATTTGTGAGAGGTGGGAACATGCACCCACTGCTCACACAAATCGAGTGTGCATACATGCATTCACTCATCACTTCTGCAGCTCGGTTCCAAAAGGCTCAAGGCCTAGTGGTGGTCACAGCTCTCATCTGTTCTTCAACAAGGAGCTGTGAGTCTAGGTTTAGGTTTAGGTTTATTAGATTTATATGCCTAGAGTCTAGGAGGACCCCCAGATTGCATACTGTGTCTGTGGGGGGTACCCTCAAGATGTCATCCCATCTAGAGCTAGAAATGGAAGAACCTTGTTCCTGGAGGGTCTAAATATCCCCCAAATTCTATATTTTTTGCCAGCTATTCTAACATATATTTATTTAGATGGTGAAATGTGATGACAGTTGTAATGGTGTCCTGTGATTAAAAAAAGAAAAGAAATTAGAAAGGTTCCTCTTGCCTGTATTTAAGTATAATGTATACACAAAGTAATCAACAATTGAATGTTTGTTAAATATATCTACATGTACAAATATATTTACTGTACAGTATTGAGAAAATAGGAAGTGAAAGAAAGCAGGTCTTTGTGAAAAGCAGAATGAGCTTTGTGAAAAGCAGAATTGCAATTTTGGCAGAAGGGAATTGTGACATCACAATGATTATTGCTTAACTTAGTAGAACAAATAACAAATGAATTTATGTATTTATGGCTTTCTTTTTATTTAATGTAGGTGTATGATGTCTCTTGTGGCGAAGTCTCCTCAACATTCTTTATAAGTGAAATAGAGTGAAATGGTACAAAATATTATTGAGTAAAACAGTAGCATTAACACTTAAATGCAGTAGCAAAAGGTCTGATTGGTTGGCACCTTTAATATACAAGTGCACTGAAATATTCAGTTTTTGAGGCCTGTTTAAAAAGTATGGAGGTATACACATATGTATGTTCATGCATACACACACCTCACAAACATATTTGTTGAAGGGTGTTCTACAAGGATACAGTTAAAAAAAACATATTTTTGGTCAGATTGTATTGGTGAACCCTAAACAGATTCATTCCAGATTCAGGCTCTGGAAGCCTTTGCCACGAATGTAGCTGTTATAAAATTGCCCAGCCCCTATAAGCAATACAGTAAATTCATACTATACCATCTGAAGCTTTTGAAATGATTTTCAGGAGGCCTCCAATATAGTTTAGTCTGGCTATATCTGCCACATTAATTATTGTAGTGGGGTCTAATCCCCCCCTCCCGAGAATCTCAAGTAACTAAAGCTATCTGAACTAAGTTTTCATAAATGGCCTCAAGATTGTAATATATGTAAATATTAGATATTTAAGTTGACCTCATAGGAAATACATTTGTACTGGTGCTTCCAGAGTAGTTTTCTTATCCACTTTGTTTGGCACACAGAATCTAGCAGTAATCAACATGGTCTTTTTATTTGTCATGGCGGCAAGGTGTGGTCATACAGATTTTGTATTATGCTAAAACTGTTTCACAGTGAGTTTTTGGCCATCTAATATTTTAGAGTAGACTGTGCAGAACCTTTCCCTTATATGAAGCAATAACATTATTCTCCTTTTTTCCAGTACTATGTTGGATTCATACCAATGACGCAGCTACATTTTGGTAGGTTTTCCTGCCAGACTTGATAGGATGGATAGATCAAAGGTGGGTTCCTACCGGTTCCGCCCCATTCGGCCAAACCAGTAGTGGTATGGCGGCATGGGTCACTGGAACCCGCAGCGACCCAGTTCTGCCACGCCCCTAAACCAGTTCTCTGGTCGGCGCCGCTGGCACAGTCATCTTGTTTTTAAGTTCTGCATATGCGCATAAGAAGTTTAATTGAACTGTGCATGCACGCACAGTGCACATTCAGTGCATGCCTGAGCGAACCAGTAGTAAAGCTGGGAGGAACCCACCCCTGGGATAGATGTTAGGGAACAAGTACCCTTAGGTCTAGGTTAAAGTTTTATAACCACAACTAAAATAGCTAGCTAACCCTTACAAATAAAATATCTGACATCAAAGGTATTCAACAAAAGTATAGAATGCAATTTTATTAGTCTGTATATAATCTTAATAATTTTAGAGACTGTAGTTTTTAAAAAATATGTATACTCTCCAGTAAAAACAAAAACCTTTTCTATATAGAAACTCTATTAGAAAGATCAGATCCTGCCTCATGTCCTAATATTTTAAGTACTTATTATGCACTTTAAACTGATTTATACCTATAATTAGGTTCAGTTTATTTTTAAAAATCTATTAGGGCTCTTACACTGCAAAACTTGTATTTATTGAGAAGTAATTTTCAAGAGCTCAATAAAACTACTCCCTAATAATGATTTGTTTTGATTTTTCTAATGTAGATTAGCAAAACAGTGTTATAAAACAAATAACAGACCAAGAGCTGGTGTATTCAGTTCTTCAAGAAAGCAGAATTAATTTTTCAATTACCTATCACATGGTTGGGTTTGGATTTTGTTACAGCAATTGGCATAAGTTAAAAAAAACTGAGAAA